GAATCACCATTTCCCATCCCTTGGGAAATGACATGGGAAATGATTTCCCATCAAATTCATTCCGTGAACCAAACGGGGCCTGGTAATTCTAAATTCCTCTCTAATTCCAAAAACCCTAGAGAAATCTCTCTCTCTCTCTCTCTCTCTCTCTCTCATTGCTAAGGCAAGCCGGCCAATACCCCAGAGAAAATTTCATTCATTTTAGCTATTGTCGTATCTTTAATCGATTTGATTTTTGTTTGTTTTTACAATCAATCAAAACCTCACAACCCTTATGTCTCTCCTCCTTATTTCTCTCTCCTCTTTCTCTTTAGTTTCTGGGAACAAAGGTCTTTCAAGCCGTCCGAGAGATTCATTCCCCACACTTCCAAAATTCTCTGATTTCATGTAATTTGGGACATGCAATGCATCCAAATATCCTTTCTGATCAACATTAATTATATTATTCTCATATCTAGAAAATAAAAATTACTCACTAGATACTGGATTGCACACATACTTCCTATTCCATTCCAATACCTATCTTCACGCTTAATTTATAATACCAACAATACCATTTGTATTATGCTATACTACCACTACAGATTCCCCTCCATGCATAGGCGTAGAGGACGGATTGACCAATACTTGCATGCTTCGCTTATTGAGAGGCATTGCAAAAAGAGTTGTAATAGTCTTCACTTTCTCTGTGGCCTTTATGATAACCAAGAACAAAACTCGATACAGAAGAATCATCCCTACCAAGATTGCAAGATCAACCCACTTAGAGTAACCCATTTCGACTTGCCATATATCTCTCAGAATATGTTCCCCACTGAGACTGGATGTTTTTCCTCCTTGATCACTGCTAGGAAATGTTGTGCCTATGAATTCATTTTTAAACAGTCCTTGGTATGCATACTTGTGGAACGCAATGTAGTACAATGGGAACTTCCACATAGGCTTGGGAATATCGTTTGGTAGTCGGAAGAAACCGCCGCACAGAATCATAAGCCCTTGAATTCCAGCACCGGCGATTATTCCCATGAGGAAGTTGGGCACAATGCTAGCAACTATCATCATCAGGCTCTCAACCAGCATCATGCAAGCAAATAACACACAAGCAAAGTAGAAGAAGTGTTCAAATCCTTTGTGAAGTCCAGCGATGTAATAAGTTATGGCGCCAGGAATCACTGAAATCAATATCAAGAAGGGCACAGAGGAAAATGTGTTGGCAAAAACGAATGAAGAAACACCATAGTGCCCGTTTAATCTTTCTCGTTCAAATACCTGAGTTTACAAGAGAAAACCTATATTTA